CTTAGTTATCAAAAATAAAAAAAAATTAATTTCCTTCCCATTTTTCATTTTTGTTCAATATAAATTTCATAACTAGAATTAAAAATATATTTTTACACTCTGATTATTAAAAAATTAATTTAGTTGTTCTAAGAATTAAACTATAATTGAAATACAATTATAATGATAGTAATTAAACATAATTAAAATTAGATCAATGATTAAATAGATAAATTACCATTATCTGTATTTCATATATTTAACGTACTCTAGATGCAAAATGTGACAAATATAGTTAGTGATAGAAACGGGGAAAGTGAATTTATACTGTACTTTCTTTGAAATTTCTTAATTTTCATTTTATCGTTATATTTAATTTTTTATTTTTTATTATAATAAATTACAATATGGTATACAATTAATATTAATTTTCATTTTATCGTTATATTTAATTTTTTATTTTTTATTATAATAAATTACAATATGGTATACAATTAATAATACATACAATTTTGCATATAATGAACTTGTGTTGTCCAATGTAGTACTTTAATTTTATATCTAAATAATACATACAATTCTGTTCTTTGTCCTCTCTTTTTACTTCATATTCTCTTTGTCTTTTAGGTTGTGCCTATAAAATGCAAGAATAATGAAATGGTTTATAATAAAAATCATGTAAGGCAAAGTTCGCTTGAATTTGAATATCCTAGAAAAATATAAAACAGACACCAACCACACAACTTCACAGAAAGACAATTGACATTGTTGGGTCAAAAACATTAATAGAATACACAACCACACAGTTAACATTGTATGTGCAACAAATTGTTCTAAGCGGGAATGTATGGTGCCGCAGACTTGCAAACTCAAATAATATCTAGAATACAATATTTTTGGACAAGAGGTTGAAGATGAGATAAGGAAAAGATTAATCGATTATATGGGCATATTTAACTGTTTGTTTGATCTCTCATGTGTTGCTTTAAAGGATAAGCAAATGGAGCAACATCCTAATTTTGATGAGATTTTAATGAAAAAAAAAAAAGAATTAACAGATGTATCAATTACAATGATTATGATGTAGTCTTCTCATTCTTGCATATACTACACATTTAACCCAAAATCATGAAAGAAAACACAGTTATTGTTTTTAAGACACTTGGAACCAATTTTCCTCCTAAAATCTTGGGTTCAGAATTTAAACATTTTCTTATAAAATCATAATTTGGAACACAGACGCATTCACATGTAGTAATGTTTGATAACATCTTAGTCCATAGCTAAAACCTAAAGATGATGAGTTCATTAGTTTACACCCGACCTACAAAATAACCAACAGAATAATTCAAACACCAGTGGATCCAAACCCACCTTCGCCTCTGACAGTTTCATCTAAATCCTCAATCTGGGTCACACTTGGAGTCACAATCTTCTCAATGATGAGTTGTGCAATCCTATCTCCAACCTTCACTTCAAAATCAACATCCGAATGGTTGAACAGTATCACACCAACCGGGCCTCTATAATCCGCGTCAATCACCCCAGCACCCACGTCAATCGAGTGCTTCCATGCCAATCCTGACCGTGGAGCTGCAGTTTAACACAAGAACTAAATAAAACCAAAAAGATAAAAGCTATAAAAATCGAAAAGCCCTAAATCGGAGACAAACTCACCAACTCGAGCGTAGGTTCTCTCTGGAACGGCGATGCTGATGTCAGTGGCAACCAGAGCCTTCCCTCTCGCGGGCACCTTTGTGTTTACGGCGCTACCAAAACATCATTAAATAATTTATAACTAATTATTAATCTAAAGATCGAGAGAGTAAAAGTTTACATTTATACCTAGAGAGATCGTAACCGGCTATAACTAATTATTAATCTAAAGATCGAGAGAGTAAAAGTTTACATTTATACCTAGAGAGATCGTAACCGGCGGAGAGAGGGGAAGCCCTAGAGGGCAAAACAGCCTTGTCGGATAGCTTCTTGACGCGTAGAAAGGGGAGGGTTGAGGAAACGTCGTCGTTTTGGTGGAGTTTTGGGATTTTCGGCGATGGCTCAAAGGAGCCGTTGGTGGCATGGGACTCTGGTTGTTGTTGGGCCATTATAGGAAGTGGACGACGATTGTGAACAGATAGAATTGACAAGGGGAAATGGGGTGGAGGGTAGGGTTTATATAGAGAAGGAGGAGGAGGAAGTGAATAGGCGCCCAATGCTTGGATGACAAAAATATTTCCCGCCATTTTACTTTTGGTGGGGTTTGTTTGAATGCAGAATGTATTATGGCGGCACTGCACAGTCTTCATCCATCCCTCTTACTATTAAATTCCCTTACCTCTATACTTATTTCACTTCCCATTTATTTAATTTATAGATGTCCGCTTTACATGTTTATTATTAACTTCGGTAGTTCAAATTGGATTGGTCAGCGATGAAGATATAGGTTTACAATTTCAGCATTTAACTGCGTTGATCCAGTAGTATGTCATAAAATATTTTTTATAATATAATGATATATAAAATATGTCCAATACTATTTATAATTTCTTATAAAAATAATTATAATCATAATTATCGTTGAAAATTATAATAAAATCATATATATATATATATATATATATATATATATATATATATATATATATATATATAAATATAGTAGGTAATGAAATAAAGGTTATGACGCGAATACTAGATAAAATTGCACTTGAACAATTATTTTTTAAATCAATATAATTCAGGTGAGAAAAAAAAGGTTATATCTTTTTAATTAAATAAAAATATTTTATTCTTAAAAAATATATTTGAACATATTGGACCCAATAACCCAACTGAATTTACCAATTCTTCTACTAGATACATCAATTATTAGGAAATAGCTTGTGAGATTCAACTCATGTGATGATAGCTGGAGTAAATAATTAAGTATCATCCAATTAACATTTTTCAACATCTTGCTAATGATTCCATTAATTGAGGGGCACCCACCTATTTTTTAATCCTCAAACAAAATTTGGGGCCAATCTGATTAGAAGATGCATCCATAACATCCAACAGTCCATGAAACATAACATTCAAGTCTCTATTTTCTCATCCTCAAAACAAAATATTTGGAGACAGTCCAATTAAAGGCCTGTCTGCCATAGTATCTAAAAGATGTTTTGCACATACATACAGTTAGTTATTCTAACATTGTAAATTCTTTAATTTGACTTTAAAATGGTGAGAATTTGAAGTAAACTGCACAATAATTAACGTCGTAATTAAATATTCATAATGACTGAGAACGATTCCGGGTTCCAATTACATAATCACTGCCGCCACTCGCAAACTAACCTTACAATAAGAACATTAACTAATATTTACGTTTGTGCCCGGGTGTTTATGTAAAAAAATGTTAGAAGGTTATTCCCCTACAATTCAAGGCCGGGAACCCACCCAAGTATGATTTCATGGTTTATCTAGCATGTTATTATCCCATTTTTCACGGCTGAGAAGCCTCCCAGAGTACAAATTGCAGTATAAGTTGGACGGAACGAACAACGTCTCAGCAACACACAAAAAAATGTCTCTTTGCAAGTTACCTAACCTAAAAAACTAATCATAATACCTTGGCAAGTTTGGAAAGAACTTGGAAATAATTATGTGAACAAAGCACGCCATTCCATCATTGTAATAGAAAGAGGAATGGCATTAAACATGTGTGCTGATACATAAAATGCTAGGGAACTTGGCATCATGACTAACAAAAAAAAAAAACACTCAGCGTTAGAAAAACATAAAAACAAAGGCTGAATCCACTTCCTAATCATCAGCAGACGAACTCTAAAGGTGCAATTCTTTTTTTCTTTTTTCTTTTTTTCATTTTCAGCTAATAAGCTAGAAGAATTTGTAACAAAACTTGGGTTACGCGACTCAAGTATCTCAACTAGCTTCACTATATAGAGCAAATCTAATACCTATGAGTGAATATCCAAGCATTCCAGATAATGATGCAGGGTAAATCCAACAACCATTCAAGTGCCAAAACAGGATATTGAAATATCAAAATGGAGAAAACAAGTGTCAAAACTTCTTTTGCATATCCCAACACCTGGCGAAGTCAATATAGCTTCGAGATAATGATGTAGAACACCATAATAAAAAGATTGCATAGCTAAATGTTACTCACATCACAATCATCAAAGAATATTGTTACTCAAACATATTATTGTTGGCATATTTGTATATTGTTGGCATAACACAGGGAAGTTTATGAAAGATACCTCAAAAATAAAAATGAACAGTAGAACCCCTCACCTGCTGGCAGATACTGTGGATTCCCTTGACCATCACCAACGTTTGAGAAAAATATATGCTTGCTATTCCTTGCCTGCCCAGTTTGCAAAGTGAAAATTCAAGTCATCAGCATCACTTCAACTTGGTACGGATTGCTGTATGACCATATTTGCACCTTATTTTGTGTCCCTGTATTTGTCTCTAAAAATACATCAGTAATGTTTCATCTGAAGGCCCCTGGCTAACAAAAATTGGAATGTTGTTTAGGATTTAGGCTTCAAAAAGTGATTTCAGTCTAAGATTTAGGGTTTATAGTGTGATTTCGATCAAAGCTTTAGGGTTTAATCTGTGGTTTCAATATGAATCCAACTTTCTTCCAAGAGAGTTTACAGAATTGGGAGTCAATCTGTTGAATATTATGAAATTAATCCAAGGGTTGTTAGTATATTCTTAACCTTTAAAAATCTTGAAGAATACCATCAAAAGCCGTACCAAACAATGACATGGCTAAGGTACACATGTGAAATTACTATTGATCCACAGAAGAAGGATACTGAAACCCTTCTAAATTTGAGGATACCAATGAAATTTACTATGTTGAAGTTTAAATATATTTGAGTATGGTTATGCTGAACTAGACAATTCAAGCATAAAAAACCGTAGGAGTACAATTGCTGTGTTATTTAAAACCAAAGGTAAATGAAGCGAAGGGATGCTATATAGCATTTGGCAAAGAAGTGAAATCAATTTTTGTGTTGCATCCTCCCACTCTCTGAACCAGCATACGGGTCGATCACAACATTTATTACGGCTGGTTTCCGAGCAGAGAATGATTCTGAAAGAGCAAACTTCAGTTCATCAGGCGTCGCAACAAGATACCCCTTTCCTCCAAAAGCTTCAATCAAAGCATGGTATCCTGCATTTGGGACAAAATCTGTGGGGGCAGGATCATCTTTGAAAGGTCCATCAACCTCCTCTGGGCGTCTGCGGTCACCACCATACACACCACCATTGTTGAAAACAATCACAACCACAGGAAGCTGATACCGAACCAATGTCTGCGTAAAAGATAAAGAATCACACAGCATTCTAGTATTCAGAAAAATAATTGCAACATTAACAACAAATGAAAGCAAAAACATATGGAAACCATACAGTCATATTAATTGAGAGAATTTACATATACATATCGTGGTAACAACAATTTATAAACTTGAAAAGAAATGGTCTGAACATAAATTGAATTTCTCAGTTATTTAAGCAAGAAATCCATTAAGATCAACTTAAATCCACAAGCACTATCATTTCAAACTTTCAGAAACTTATTTTCATGGCTCAGGCTATAACAAAAGATATAAAAAACTGGACAAGTCTTTGGGAAAAGATAAGACCAAAAACAGAAAAACTTCATAACTATAACAAACAAGAAAAGCTAAACCTAGTTTAGAAGTTTTCGTAGGCTAAAATGTACATCTCACATACTACTGTTAAGCAAACCCAATGCATTATCAGATTTCAGATACTTTCTTATCCATTTTGTTTTTCATTCTCTCATCCACATGGAAAATAGGCACTGGGATACTGCTATTTATCCCATTGTAGGCTGAACCACTATTCCAATGAGATGAACAAGAAGGGAAATATATTTGTCACTGTTAACATTACACCTTCAGGAAAACCATCCTAAAATCTATTCCAACAATTGGCAAATATATCATGTCAATTCCCAGGGCTAGGTTCAGTTTGCATAGGACAGTAAAAGGAATACACATGACAATGTCTCTCACGCACACATACACACTTACTGCACAAGAACAGCTAACAAATTATTATGCATTATACACAAGGCATATGAGTCAAGAATATACCTCAACTTCCATGGCACTAAACCCAAATCCAGAATCCCCTTCAACGGCAACCACAAGCCGATCAGGAGAAGCAACAGCGGCAGCAATGCAGTATCCAAGACCAACCCCCATGGTCCCCCACGTGCCGGCATCCAATCTCGTCCGGGGCTCGGTCTGAACCAACACAGACCTTCCCACGTCCATGGTATTGGCCCCTTCGGAAACCACTACCGGAGCAGGACTCCCCAAATCCGCAATAGCATCACGTATAATCCTCATAGGCGTCAAGAAATTAAACGGCACAACATCCTTCCCCAACTGAACCTCCATCTTCGCCACATTCTCCTTCGCCTTGTTCGAAATCGCTTGCACCCATGGATGTGTGCTCCCCAAGCAAAACGGATCATCTTTAATCTCCTTACTCAAAACCTCAATCACGTGCTTGGCATCACCCACCAAACCCAAGTGAGGTTTTCTCAGCTCAATCTCCTCCTCACTCACATCGACCAAGATAAACTTCACATCCTTCGACCACTTCGGTGGCTCACCGAAGTGCAGAAGCCAATTCAACCTCGCTCCAACCACAAGCGCCACGTCACACTTCCCAATCGCAAGTGACCTGGCAGCGGTGGCAGCAAGCGCGTGAGTATCCGGCAACAACCCTTTCCCCATAGGAGTGGGGAGAAAGGGAATCCCAGTCGCCTCCACCAGTTTCGTAAGCGCGTGCTCCGCACGCGCGTACGCAGCTCCTTTTCCAAACACAATCAACGGCCTCTCCGCGCGTCTAAGCAGAGAAACAGCTTCTTCGATCTTTGAATTGGAAATAGAATAAGGTTCGGGTTTCGCGCGGTTTTTTTCCGCTTCAGTTAACAGTTTTTCCGCTTCGGATTCTGATAGCTTTTGATGTAAGACATCAGTGGGGAGATCCAAGTAGCACCCACCGGGCCGTCCCGATTGGGCCCAATCCAAAACTTGGGCCACGCGAGCAGGAATTTCGGAGATGTCGGAGGCTCTGACGGAGAGTTTGGCGAAGGGTTTGGTGGCTTCGATCTGGTTGAGTTCCTGGAAGTCGCCGCGGCCGACGTCGGCCTGGTCGCATGAGCCGGAGATCATGACAGTGGGCCAGGTGTTAACGGAGGCGTTGGAGACGCCCGCGAGGCCGTGGACGCAGCCGGGACCGGAGACGGTGAGGAAGACACCGGGGCGCGCGGTGAGGTAGCCGTAGGCGGAGGCGGCGTAGCCCGCGGATTGTTCATTGTGGAAGGCGATGAAGCGGACGCCGAGGGCGACGGCCCGGTTGGCTAGCGAAGTCACCGGAATCCCCACCACGCCGAACATGTGGCGCACGCCGAAGCGGACCAGTGACTTGGCCGCGAGAACGTTGCCGTCGATCTCCATCGCCGGTGAAATCAGTGTTTCTGTTGTTGTAGCTGTTGTATGACTTACGTGGAAACCGATATGACCGTGTGAATTGCGATTAGAATTGCGTGCGGATCTGGATTTATAGAAGTTGGAACACTGTTCAATTTCAACACGATGGCCTTGCCTCCACCGAACCGATTCTTCTCATTCAGAGAAGTGATAATAAACGAGCGAGAGCAGTTAAAAATAAAATTATTGATCAAAAATATTGTTATTAATTTTTTATATGATGTTTTAGCATAATAAATAAATACTATTTTTTTTTTATTACCGCTTATTTTTCTTACTTCTTATACAAATATTTAAATTTAGGAGATAAAGAAAAATTGCATTAATTCCCGAGTGTTTAAGTAAGATTGTTCCTTGGTTAGATCTAGACCTTGAGGAAGCAAATTTGTTCTTTGACAGTTCAACTCCTCCTCCTATCATTTGCCATGACTGCGGAAATTTATATAACTGGTATCTGTTTAATTTTATTTGCTTGTAAGTCTGGACTTTATATTTCATTTCAAATATTAAGAAATTCACATTTTTGACCGATTTAATTTTCAAAGACCGTGACCAAATATTCTATTTATCAAAATTATGCTAGTATAGCATTCTGAATTCTTGTTTGGATTAAAAGATAGAACAGCGAGAAAAAAATTAAGGAAAAATAATAGTGAGAGAAAAAAATTAAGGAAAATAAAATTGTTTGAATTAAGTGAAAGATAATAAAAATTATAAAATAAGTGAGAAAAATTTGTTAAAATTTGTGATGAACTTTGTTAATATAAATGATAAAAAATAATAAAAAATTAAAATACGATCAAATTATTTTTTAATAAAAATGATTATTTATTATTATTTAAAATATTATATTTTTAATTATTGATATGATAAATATTATTATAATTATTTTTTTATAATTGTAGTTATTATTAATTTTTTATTAATATAATAATTATATGTATATATTTATTATAATAATAATAAAATTGATATATTATTATTATTATTATTATTATTATTATTATTATTGAATGTGAGAATCGAATTTTACTTTGAATAATACTAATAATCATATAATCAATTTTATTGTTATTATTAAGTATGAAAATCGATATTATATTTAATAATAATATAAAAAGTGGAATGAAGAATTTATTATCAATTTTTATGTATTGGAAAATCGTTTAAGAATAATTTTTTCTTTGTTATTGAAAATTGGTTTTTATAGGGCAATAATTGACTCTCATTTCAGTATATCTCATTATCAATAATCATTGTTGTGAGAAGAGAATAATTTATCTTAATTGAAAATCAGTTTTCTTCTACTACAACTATTAAAAGGAGAATAATTATATAAAATTATAAGAGATTATTTGTATTTCTCTTTTCATCTCCTTATTTTTGGATAAATTTCCAATAATGCATCCTTCAATTTTACGTTTTTAAATCCTAACATATCATTAAAAATAAACACGGTTCATCTTCACTCTTCCATATCTTTAAAGAGTAAAAAATTAATATATATTATCATTATATTGGTAATCCATGTGTTTGAGCTTTTGAAAATATATAATAATAACTTTTTAGTTTATGAAAAATATCAAAATATAATACCTTCAGACGAATCGGTGCTAACTAATATAGTTTATTTGATGAGTCTGATATGTTAGAAGTGAAATAAGAAGGTGCTATGATCATTAATAATGGACCCTTGAACATTTACTAGCTCAAGAATAAGCAAAAAATATATAAGAAGGAAGAAGAGTGAAGAGATTTTAGATTAAATCAATGTTAATGAAGTTGTTAAAGTGGTTTATTTTTTAATATTTCATTTTGATGTTAAAGGAAACGTGATAACTAATATTTCAATTAACCTGTTGTATAAATAAATTAATATTATTACTTAACGTAGGACTAAAATTTCACCTCAAATATTATTTTAAATTTTTATATTTTTAACAAAATTAAAAGAAAATATGTTATACGTTTTCAATGTTTTTAAGTATGTTTGGAATTGTTTCAAAATAGTTTTGTTTACATTTAAACAGTTAAATCCTAAAACAATTAAAGTTTACAAATATAAATGTTTGTATATTAATAATTAAATAAACCAGTATTAATCCTTTAATAAATTAAATTAACACGTGGATAATATTCACTATATCTACGTATAGTTTGAATGACTGGTGTAACAGGTTTTCAATAAATATTAAATAAATTTTTAATTAAAGGTTGATTCAAGATAGTAAAAAAAAAGAAGAAAAAAATAGGAAGAGAAATTTATAAAATTATGTAATTAGTCAATTTTTATATAAAATGAAAATTATTAAAATCATTAATATTTCAAGCAAATAATATTGAAATAAATATTCAATGAATAACACCTTTACACTTAGAGAGAAGAAAAACGTTCTTATTCCGTTCAAAAGTAATGATGGGCGGAGCCACCGCGATTCACCCTCCACCAGTTACACCCTCGTCAACCTTAGTCCGCGACTACCTAAATACAACTACAACTTTGCAATCTTCGGTCATAATTCCTTAACATATTTCAAAAATAATCTTAAAGAAATTTTGTTATGTGAGTCATTTTTTTATTTTAAAAAAATCAATATTTATAGAACCCACGTTAAAATAATATGTTTACTAATAATGTATCTAATTAAAATTTATCTGAGATGTTTATTGTACTGTTCGAAATTTTAAATTTACGAGATTTATTATATAACAAAATATTTTTTATAATAATTTATTTTATTATTTTATTATAATTAATATTAAATAAATATAATTTATTATTTAAAATATTTTAATAACAAACCTATAAATAATGTTATTTTATTGTGTACTTATTGTTTGATTTTTATTTAAAAATTTATTATTATTTTATACTGAATTAAATATTAAATATCTTTATTAAGTTTCAACGTGAAAGTAACAATGCGTTTTTTTCTTCTTTAAAAAAAATATTATCATTAGTACCATGACAACCACTATCACTTGGTTATTTATGTTAAATGCTAACATTTTTTGTTTACTTATTAAAATTAAACACTATTTTATTTGTTAACATAAAATGTCAATGAAAACCGAAATCATATTTTTACGGTCAAATGTACTTTAAGAGATAATTGAAAATTGTTGAATCAATAATTTATTAAATTATTATATATTTAAAATATAAAATATATAGTATATATTTAAAAAATAAATTTATTAAATTATATAAGAAAAACATTTTTTTTTCAATATGAATTTAAGCGGTGACAATTACTTATAAAATGATACAAGAGGAATGATTTTTTTTCTTAAGATGATACAAAATCTATATTGATAATGTGTTGTGAGAACTTATTATTTATTATTGAAATTAAATAAATTTGTTGTGTTAAAAATAATCATAACATGTGAAAAAAATAATTATAAATGATCTAATATATACAATTTTATCTTATTTTTAACTAGTTAATTTTTTTAAATCACATGTCATAATAAACTTAAATATATTTTTTAAAATATGTAATTGGTTTTTTACCATTAGAATATATAGTTTGTGAAATCTGTAAACAATCAAAGAATATAGTTTTAATTTAATTGAAAGATGACCAATAATCATTTTTAAATGTACTGATGAATATTTAATAAGTTAATATATATTTGATTAATTAAATTATTTGAGCTTGAAATAAAAAATATTGAAAATGATACTTTGTTTAATCCTTAATACAAGACACTTAAAGACAATTAAAAAATCAATAAATCTGATTAATTCAGTTGAATTTATCATCTTTAAATATTAGCAACATACCATAATGATATTGTCTTCTAAAATTATGTTATTATAATAATAATTATTATTATTATAATAATAAAATACATATTTATAATATTTAACAGAGATTAATAGAGAGAAAATTTAATATTATATAAAACTATAAAATATTCATAAAAATATCATCAATTTCTTTTGGAAGATATGTCTTATATTAATATGATGAAAATTATATTTTAAAAAAATTACATAGAAATAAAAAAGAGATTAATTTGTTGATTTGATGCAGAATACAAATAACACCCCTGGGTGGCGCCAAATACCTTCCCCACTAAAAGACAAAACTTCACAAGTTCCCAGTTTAACCCAATTGCAAGCATCACACACCAAATGACAGAGCTTGTCTACCATATTCTGAACCCATGAGTTTTTTTTTATGTTATTTTTTATATGAAATAATCACTATTTATTATTACTATTTATACTGTATTTATTTCTGTAAAATTAATAAAATTTGATTTTAATAGCGACAAAAAGTTATTCCTCCAAAATTTAAAATTATTATTTTCATTTTGCACAATTGATGAGTTATTGCTACTAGTTCATGAAAATTACATAAATAATATTTTATCTTGGATTTTATTTTTCATTTAATTAAACATGTTGTAACTTTAGAAGGCATATTTACACTATCTTGATTTGGACTCTAGTGTAAACCTGATGAACCTATAACAATACGTTTAATTGATCATGTTGGTAATTGTTTTGAATAATTAGTGCATTTAAAAATGAATAAAATTAAAATTTGTATTGGTGAGATTTAATGTGGTTCCAACATAAATTTATTTGTAAAATAACTATGCCTTACTTTGTTTTTATACTGATAAAATGTTAGTTTATATATGATAGCAATGTCACCTCTAGTAAATTTTATTATAGAATATATTTTTAGAAATTAAATAATTTAGATATTTTTTTAAATATTGTATGTATGTTTATCTTATTAATTAATTATAAATTTCAATTGTAATAATGAGAAGAAGATTACTATTATTCTTAGTGTGTTGTTAATAATGTGATTTGTGATTAATATTCTCTACATATCTTAGGTTTTATACATGATATTTTTGTTATATTTGTAGTTTATTATATTTCGATAATATTAAGCGGGAATGAACAAGAAAATGCGTATCATATAAATACACACATTTTT